TGATTTCATTTGGTTTTGTGCTTGAATGTTTAGATTTTTTTAATAAGCCAAAAAACCAAAGTCTAGGCACTATTCAAGAGTGTTTTTTTTTTACTAATTCCAATTATTATTATTATTTTTGTAAAATCTATAGCAATCAAGAACCGGCCAGTTCTTCCTTAAGGCTGCCGACCCAGGTTTGAGTTCCCCGGATATTGTGTTCGGGAAGAGTGGACCTTTCCTCTCGGATCGCACAGGGAATTAGTAAGGCTGAAAACCTGAATATCTCTGTATCAGGAAAAAAAAAAAAAAGAAGAAGAACCGGCCTATGTTATATAGCAGAGGATTCCGTAATCTAATGTGCATAGGATTTTTTCGACTCGCAAAAAATATCAATGACCGAACTAATAAGAATAATAATTTTGTGTGTTTGGATTGTAAGTTATTTGAAATATTTTTACTGTAGCACTTGTTGTGATGTGATGTATGTGAGATAAAAAGGTAATTGGGAAGATAAAAATGTGTATTGGAAATTGTAATAGTGATGTCAGCAAATATATTTGGCCAAATAATTGGCTGTCCAAACACAAATGTTAGCCAAGTAACCATAAAATCTCTAATCTGATTCTCGCGACTCCCTCTTCCTCCCCTCCTCCTTCCTCTTGGAAGAATTAGAGTGACCAAATCAACAATAATTAATATATGGTTAATAATACAGCATTGATTGGAATTGGAAAGAGAGATGAAGTTGGGGATGGTAGCGACGTAGCAGCTGGCAAGCATATACATAGCAAGATTGCATGCATGTACAACAAAATTAATAGGATACCATTCAGCTCACATTTAATTAATCGGGGGGTCCAAAGGTCTTGTCAAATAAAAAGGAAAAAAAAAAAAAAAGCACCTCTAAATCTAATCCAAAAGCGCGATCTCATCTTGTGAGGGTTGGGTTGTATACCCATTCCAAACCTCCAGCAGTCCAACGTCATATTTCTTGGTTGGTACGCTGGTGCAGTGTTGGCCAGGCCTCTCCAGCAGCCCATCTTGTGAAAATTGTCAAATTACCATAAGGGGTCAATGGCTTCTACGTTTGGTGCCATTCTCTTGCATAATAAATAAGATGCCTGATCACTTACAACACGCTTTGGTTTCAATGGTAGCAAAGAAAAGAAGCAGGGGCATTGGTGAGATGAAGGAGACTTGTGTCGTTCTTTCTTCTTAAAACGTAATCTTACAAATAAGAAAAAGTTCACAAAGTAAAATTCATGACAATAGTTAGAGTTGGTGAGAAGTCACCAATCGTCCAGAGAGGCATCTTTTTGTAGGTCAAAGAAAGCTCACATCAGCGGTAAAACCATTCAACACAACCGCGTCTGAGTAGTGATTACTAGGAATTTGGGACCTCGCAAGTTCTGACTCAAACTGATTGGATAAGTGGGTATAAATTCAAACAATTTTAATGTAATTGTGTGATTTTTTTCATAAATTTAATCGCATAAGTTACACTACTAATTTACATCAGATGATGTAAAAGTTACATAATCGATTTAAACTAAACAACAACTCAAGTAACTCAGCAACTCGTGAGACTCCTAATCTTGATCACTGGTACTACAACTTACTATTGGGAGCCTTCTTGGACTCTTCCTTCCGCCCGCCCCCGGGTTGGTCACTGCGTACTCAAAAGACATGCGCTAATAAGTAATAACAACCTCTGCCCCTCTACCTTCTGTGTCCAGCTCAATCTCCCTCTTAATCTTTCAATCTTTTACTAAAAAATTTTTGTGAACCCCACACTTATCTTGGTTCGTTCGAACAATCGGCTCAAGTGTCTCTTGTCTTGCACATTTCCCACCATTATATATATATATCTACCAATAAGCTTCAGTTTAAATCATCTTTGAGGCACATTTCTCTTCAAAGTACAACTAATATTCTTCAACAGATAGAGAAATACTAATGGCTTCTTCTTCTTGGAATTTGACTCCAATAGTATTTGTTTTATTGTCTCTCTTTGTCAGCTCAGCGTTCGCAAATTTCTACAACAATATTGATGTTACATGGGGCGATGGCCGTGCAAGAATCCTCAACAACGGAGACCTTCTTACTCTCTCCCTTGATAAAACTTCAGGCTCGGGCTTTCAATCCAAGAATGAATATCTCTTTGGAAAGATTGATATGCAGCTCAAGCTTGTCCCTGGAAATTCAGCTGGCACTGTAACTGCCTATTATGTAAGAACGGTTCTTCCAAGTACTATTTAATATTGCTGAGCAAATATATCAAGTTTTCCTTTCAAAAATCCTGTTACTAATACCACGTCCTTGCACACATGGTGCAGCTATCATCACAAGGACCAACTCATGATGAAATAGACTACGAATTCTTGGGAAACCTGAGTGGCGATCCTTATATTCTTCATACTAATGTATACGCTCAAGGCAAGGGTGGCCGGGAGCAACAATTCTACCTTTGGTTTGACCCCACTGCGGATTTCCACACCTATTCAATCCTTTGGAACCCACAACGCATCATGTAAGTACAACTACAAATGCAAGAAATTCTGTCACTTAAAAACTTGACCACATCAAAACATTCGCATATTGTTCTTTATTAGTTTAAACATACACCCTGCAAAAATTTTAAAAATAATTTACGTTGCATACTTAAATTTACATATACTATAGTTTCCATAGTTAACGTAAAATCTATGGTTCTATCTATACTTACATGACATACAACTTATAGTTTTCTTCTTTTTTTTTTTCAATTAATTACTAGTCAGTAGAGTTTCAAAACATGCAAGTTTGTTTTGATCCTGAATTTTGGCTCTATATTTTCAGCTTTTCCGTGGATGGCACACCTATCAGGGAATACAAGAATCCCGAGTCTCTGGGTGTTCCATACCCAAAGAACCAACCAATGAAGATGTACTCAAGCCTGTGGAATGCTGATGACTGGGCAACAAGAGGTGGACTTGTCAAGACAGACTGGTCCAGAGCTCCTTTCACTGCTTCCTACAGAAACCTCAACCAAAATGCTTGTATTTGGTCGTCAGGAAAATCTTCGTGCAATTCAAATTCTCCTTCCAATAATGCATGGCTGAATCAGGAGTTGGATGCCACAAGCCAACAGAGGCTACAATGGGTCCGGAAGAATTACATGATTTACAATTATTGCACTGATACAAAACGCTTTCCCCAAGGCTTTCCTGCCGAGTGTTCTCTTCAATAATGGATCGTCATAAGAAACTGATCAGGGGCAAAATGTTTGCTGCATTTTATGCTTTTTGTGTATTGTGTTTGTTATAATTATTTATATATTCTTTCGTTTGTGTACCTGAATAAAAGTTGAAATAGAATGAAAGCTAGAATATTTATATTGCAATATTCCAAAGATTCTTTAGCTTGTTATCATATTTAGTGGCTTTTTTTTTTTTTATGTAGAAATTGCGAAAATGAGTTATATTACTAGATTGTTATGACAATTTGTGAATATATCTGTTTTACTTAATTCTTCTGATGTCATTTCTTTTGCCAAAATGAATATGAAAATTGGAGAACAAGTACTCTTTATATTTTAAAGTCTCAAAAGTGTTGGAGTACCTATAGTCAGCTAAATTTACTATTATTCTTGATCACTCGAAGTTTATTAAAAGAAAAAGTAAACGAAGTGAGGTACTACGAAGTATTCGACTCTAATCTATAAAGAGTTAAAACACATCGTAGTAACAAGGAAATTTCGTCAAAAAAGCTTGAATCCAAAATTAAATTGGGTACCACTTTTTTCTTTTCTTTTTTTTTTTTTTGGGTTTTCGTTGCATATGAAAGTCCAAGATAATGATTGTGTGTAACTCCTGATTAAAATGCAAAGCTTGTCTAAACTTTAAAAGATATTAGACAAGGAAAAGATATTATTGGTAAAAGAGGGGAAAAAACTCATCAATGTATATAGAGATAAACCAATTTTAAGCAAATGATTAGACAAGTCTAAAATTTTGCAGGGGCTTGAGTTGTGTTGGGTGGTAAAATGAGAGGTACTGTTAACCAAAAAAAGGGTCTAAAATCTTGCCTTGCAAAGAAGAGAATCAGAGGAGAAAAAGCTTTCCTCCCAACCAGGTACTTAGAGCCGTCATTTGACATGTAGCCTGTAGGATTCGGAGGTCAGAATTTAGGGTTAATTTCGTCCTTCACGGTCATTTTCAGAGAAACCTAGGGAAGAAAAGCCTTTCTTCTCTTCTTCCTGCCTGCATTTGGAAATATCTGCATGATCCCGAATACTTTCCAGGGCAAATTAAACAATTCTATAGTTGTGTTAATCTCATGGAATCATTGTGAAGCACCATGTGTTTTCAGAATTTATCACGAAGACATTGGAATGAAAAACCATTAATGGACGATAAATTCCCCTACCTGAAAGAGTCTGCATCAGGTTAAAAGTCTCCAAGATGGAGAATTTATCTGTGCCACTTGGAAGTCTACTCTATCGAAACTCACAAGCTGACAACTGCCTCGAATTATATATATCTATATATATATATATAGAGAGAGAGAGAGAGAGAGAGAGAGAGAGAGAGAGAAATTGCTGGCAGTATTCCCAGAGCTGAAGGCCTCTTTTTTTTCACTTCAGAAAACAGGAATTGGGCAACCCGAGCAACGAACAATAGGGCATAAGCACTTGTACCAGCACCATTGTTGGCATGATCTTCTCCCTCAAAATCAAATGGTAAATGATATATTTCTGCAGCTATTTGTGCCCGCGTTGCCTGAATTATCATACAGCTTATCGACATCCTTGCCACAAAAACGGTAAGACCCGAATTATCTATAGACATCTCTGCAAGTAAACGTGCCTCATGACCCACAACTGGCTAATTGGTGAGTCCCAAGGGATTCAATTTCGATAATCTCATGCAAAATAAAGGGAGTATAGAATTCGAAAGCTTTTTTGTCGGGTATGAACCAGCTCTGCAATCAAAACAACGTTCCGCACATTAAGATGATTAGCACCATCTTACAGAAAGTTACAGAAGAAATAGTTGTCAATATGACATTAAGTATGCTTAACTTGCACAAATATTGCCCAAATGTCTACATCAGGAAGGATAGAACCAGACATAAAACTCAGGATAAGTCAAACCCATAGCCCTTACAAATTTAAACGCAGAGTCAGAAACAATCAAGTCAATTATGAGTCCAATGCCAACTTCTTACTGTACAAGAGAATGTACATCTAGATGCCTGTTACAGAACCAGACATGGTCATTGAGACTCCTGAGAGAATCTAAGTCTGCACAGTCCTGAATCCTAAAACATCTACCTGCATTGCCAAGTATCAGCAACTTTACACAGGCAATTGTTTATCTCCAACACGATTTTATTCATCTTCCAACTCCACAATCTGTGCCCTCCTCTCAGCTGCTTTCTTCCTGATGAAAAAGCCCCATCTCATTGCAGCCTTAATTTTTAGCCAGCCAACAACTGCTTTCCCAGAACGGGTGCGATCCTCATCATAACTGTAGTTTGGAGATGGCGATGGCATGTAAGATTGGAAAGCAAAATTATCATCAGGCACATTAACAGCTGCATGGCCTCCCATGCTGAAAAGTCTAAGTAGGTGTTGCATATCTTCATTCTCGAGCATCTCATGGCTTCTCAAACGAATTTCCTCCTCCGACAAGAAGTCATCCACACTCTTGTCACGATTTTGAGTCCAGTCTTCAAAAGGATTGAGGTTGGATGGCTGAACAGATGACCCAACTGTCTGGAATGATGATGATGACTGTGGAGGAGCAAGGGCCAATGCTGCCCTATTATCATATCTTGTGTTCTGAATTTGGTGAGAATTGCTGATTTGCTGGTCAGGTAAACCATATGAAGTACTACCATACTGATTGCGGGAACTTGAATTCAGAATTTGAGACTGGTTAGCATATCTGGTAGCCATATTATCATTATAACCTGAACACGAGATAGTAGTAGTAAAGGTTACAGTAAGATGTAAAGTGGCCAACAAAAGTAACATTGCATAACCACAAAACATACCGGTAAATGTGTATATGTAAATGAAGTTGAGAGAAGATACTACACAATGTAAATGGAAAAATCATAGGGAGGAAAAGGTAATTAGCCCCCAGTTTTGTACCACTAGAAACCAAGAGATCAGAAAAGAAAACATCCCTAATGAAATGCATTCAAATCTCCTGTCTTTACTTACCCCTTTTCAAATAGAAGATAAACTCATAAGCAACAAAGGAAGAGGATTTCTCAATCCCAAAGGAGATATATAAGCAAGCATCAGTCTTGGCACATATTGCCTCCATCTCATATGAATGTTTCACATTGACTACTCACTAGGGTTCAGAAAAAGTTCAAGATACAAAAAAACATAAAAAGAAAAGGGGAAACAAGTTGTTCCATACACCAGATCATGTCCATGCACTATATCCTCTAATACATCCTTCCCTAGGTATTCTTGATATCATGATTGATGGTATCCAATCTTCTCACTCCAAACCACAAGCGTCGGATCCTTTTCACCAAATTCTGCTACAATGCCTCAACCCTTAGGGTGGAACATATCAGAGAGAGCAAAGCCATATTATCCTACCCAACCGGAAACATTACCCAAGTTTTCTGATAAATGCATATACTTCAATGTTCAGGACGGAAAAGAAATGCAATAAGAAAAAGAAAAGAAAACATATGGATCTTACATGGCAAAGGACGAGAAGCTGGGAACAAGTTCAACAACATGGAAAACAATCATGTTGACCTGATATTATAGTTTACCCAACTCAAATAAAAGTAAAAGGTGCCTATGCTAGGTCCAAGAGGTTAATATGAAATGTTAATAGTTTACCTAACTGAAATGTTACTATGGCTTCATTACTTTAGAATATGATGCATCTTCCCCTTTAATTGTATGTGTTGTTTGAGAAAACATTTGGGAAAATGGGGTTGACATTAGGAGATTACAGATGCATATATCTTGTACAAAAAGCAAACCAGTCATCCACTGCATGCTCAAAAGGTAGCAAACCAGATAGCAGTTCATTTGATATTCTATAAGTTGACTTTACCTCCAATCAGCATGTTTGGATCCACTGGAGATGGCTCAGATGGAACTGGTACTGGTAATCGGGGCGGATCTGAAAGCTGATTATCCAAAGCATTAGGATAATCCACTGGCCCAACTGGAAGTTCATCCCGGGATGCACTTGATTTCTTATTTTGCTTGAAGTTCAGAAGAGACTTGCCATCATACTCTATAACTAGGTTCCAGTTGTCATATGCTTTCTTTACCAAACCATCAACATATAGCTACAGGTAGAAGAAATGAAAATTCTGTTAATATGCACAACTTTTGCTATGCCAATGAAATTTAGATATTGGTAATTTTGGGAGCTTCCCCAACCAAATTTAGTACAGACCTTCTGGCTGTCAGAAAGTGAATCTGCTGGAAAATACTGTTCACTAGCTATAAGGCCACTCAGCTCATAGATGTTATTGAAGACAACACCAACATTTCTTGAATCATCAGAATAGTATACATAAAGCTTCCCACTTAGGACACAAGTCTTTGCATGCTCTATGAGGGCGTCCCACATTTTATTTGACATACCACTGCCAAGAATCTGCTCTAACACCAAAAGAATATGTCAAATACCAATAAGGCATGTTTCTCTTATACTGGAAGCAGGGATAGTATAGTAGACTTACAGTTCGCAGCTTCTGAGGGTCTGTGACCACAAGCCTAAGGAAGTGTTCAACTGAAAATATCCCTGCATTGTTTAGTCTTTTATGGAATGATCCATCCTTGCCAATCTTCTCCAATCTCCATACATCATCATTCAACGCAGGTGGATAATGCTTTTTGTACACTGCAACAAGGAAAGAAAACTTTTTAACCAATTATCAAAGTTAACAAGCAAATAAGTCAACCAACAAGTATCATCAAGCAGCCTACATTCCCCTCTGTGATCTTTGACAGTGAAAGCCTCAGTCTTTGCTTCACGAACTCGTATGCCTTCACAATATCCTGATGCAACCTTGAGGCCAAGTCTGAACTTCCTACTCCTTATCCAACTTGAATTATCAGTGAAGGTAAGCTCTCCTAAAGTTCCCACACCTTCCTTGAGTGTCACTTGTAGATCGCCAGTCAACAATGGTCTCTTTCCTTCCCGCTCTTTCACAACATGGCTTTCAAATTCTTCTTGAGTCCAGCTTTCATTATCTTCAGTGTTAAAATCACCTTCTAGCACAATAACATCCAGCTTAACACACGATTCAGGTCCAGAAGTGACAACATGCCCTGTATTTGCGTCAATCAAGACAACATGAATTGCAGCTCCCTGCTCCCCTTCTACTTTACCCCCAGTAAAGAGAGGCAGTGAAAGTCTGGACCTAAAATGCAGCTGTAAATTTCTTCCATCTGGCCCTTCAATTCGTTTAGGTGACGATGACCTGAAAATTCCAAACTTTCAGGAAGCAAATTTCCAATTTAAAAAGTACTTGATTCAAGAGATCAGCAAGTTCATCAATAGAAAACAAAAGCAAGGAAGAAAAACATTTTGTGCAAAGGATTTCAGCCACACTGAAAAGTTGTAATTTGTGCATATGTGCATCCATCAATGCAGCATACACAGCTGTACATTTATCACTTAGGTAGTGAAAGTGTAGAGACAGCCTGAGAGCAAGAAGTAAATACTACTTAAACCAAAAATGCAGATAGCCCACAAATGTGCTACAAGGAAAAAGTACCATGCATACTTTAAACCATATATGAGACGTAAACCTCTAACTACTTCACCATTACAATTCTACATAACCAAATCTACCCTGCAATAAAAGTAATTATTCACATACAAATCCGAAGAGGTTTGAAAAAGTGGAAAAAGCTATGCACTGACATAAAAAATAACTAGAATTTCAAATTATAGCCAGAAATTAACCTTCCAGTGAGTTTGGCAGGACCAAGCTTTGCCAAAGCACGTTCAACTTCTTCGCTAACCTGTCAGCAACAATTTTGAACATAAGACAAAAGAAGCTTGAGACTCCATTAAGCAAACAAAAAGCTACTGGGTAACATAAACATAAGAAAAATATAGTCATGGTAAAGATGCAGCTTTTGTCTGCTATCATACAGTTGTTTGAAGAATTTATACCACAAAAACAGGGTGAAATGTTCAGTTACATTATCAATAAAAAATCATACAACACTGAAGAGGAAGAAGCAGCAGCAGTTAAACTACCTGATCTAGCATGAAGATACACATACTTGTTTCGAACATAATGTAGATTTAGTTGATGGGACAAAGTTTCAATTTCAGTAAGCTTGTAGACAAAACTGTTCTCTTTCACGGATGGATATCTAAGTCATATTATCACTCCCAACATATGATAAAACCAGTTTAACAAAGAAGCATCTTTGTGTACTCAACTAAGGCAGAAAAATATACGAAAATATATGTTATCACAGACAAAAACTGAACAAGTGCAAAACAATACAAAATTGCAGGCAAAAAAAAAAAGATTAAAACTTTAGACTTGAAAGGTTAATCTAAATGCATATATGTGGTTGCAAATGTTAGCTTTCATATGGAAGTATTGAAATTACTCCCCCCCCAACCCCCCAAAATATATATATATATATATGTATATATTTAAAAAACCAGCAGAGCATTTATAAAGCATCAGCGTTGGGCTTACAACTCTACGAAGGATTGGCTCCAAGGATGAGCAGAGTTTCTGAAGACTATCCACCTTTAGCGCTTCCACAATGACACTGCATGAAGATTGTATTCTTAAACAGTGTGAAACCATGATGTAACAAGTCAACCGGAAACCAATTTAGAAAGGCAAACTTAGAGATAGAGATACAAATGACATGTTTCTGGCAGTTATGAAAAGTATTAATAAGCAGCAATTAAAGGAAAACAATTTGAATTACACTTTCTCAAAAATTTCACAGACCATTAGATTAAGATTTCTTTTATAGCATGCCATATCATCATAAAAGCGAGAATTCTTTCATAAAAAGCTTTAATGTCTCACAGGGCCTGATTCTTTGAATCATCTACAGGCCATTTCCATATTAACAAGGGTGCAAAAACCACATATATCTTTTTAGACCTTGAGAAATTTATAAATTGCACCCTTTGGCAGGAAATATATGATTTCCAAATTAAACTTCATATTTTGTTCTCCATCTTTCTCTGTTCTCAATCCAACATACAGAATTTTCCAACTAAAGTAGCTAATGTTAATGCAATCTCTGAAATTGAAATACAATTATATGTCCTTGAAAGACAGGATCAAAGCCGTGAATGTTCTTGGTCAAAGTGAAATGAAATGTAGAAGATAAGACAAGTTCCCTTAATAAAACCACAAAGTACCCATGTCATAGGACATGACACCGGTGCAGGTATGTAATATGTGTCAAATTTGGTCAAATATTTAGTTGGCATTACGACTTTAGATGAGGCCTCTTGGACCTTATTAATCCCTGCTCAGAACTACTTTACAGCAGTGGCAGGTACATGACCCTAGGTAAGGGGGCGCAATTTATGACTATTACGTGCAACATAATAACACTGGCCAATAAACATCTGTCTTACATGTACTGTTAATTTTAAATACGACTTAAATTAGTAATAATAAATTTAGCAATAACTTAATTCTATCTATCAGAAATTTTTCTTCTAAAAAATGTTTAACATTATATAACTTGAGGTAGGTCCAACACTCTTGTGAAAGGTAATGCATGAAATATTAATTGTTACGGGTGGCAATGCAGCCATAAAAGGGAATATCACAAAATTTGGGGGAGCAATAATGATACATTTTTACAAACTTTTCAAATTTCCCAAATCTAGGTTGTGATTTTACCAAATATCTCCCCAGGGGAGGGGAGGCAGGGCAATTGTCCATCTTGAACTATATTTGGCTCTGCCAGTGCTTACAGCCTATTCTAAAGAACCTTAGTGTTAATCAGCACCTACAAGAAGTAAAGGAGACTACAATGGTGAAAGTTTGGTAGCATCCTTCAGGGTATCTAGCTTCCATCAGCAAACGCCCAATTCAATAATACCCAATCTGGTATTACAATATGCACACAGAGATTCTTAGAACCCCAAGTTTAAAATTAGGGACAATGTTATGCGTTGCGCCATATCCAAATACTCCCTGCATATTTTTCTTCTTGTCCTGGTATCTTCTATTTTGGCAATTGGCCAACCTTGTGTCCACTACAATACACAAACCTAGGTACAAACTCATGTCCGCTACTAAAACCAAGCAGAAAAGCTCAGCATATTACATGCCAGCTGTCTTCATGCATTATATGCCAGCTTAATATCAACATTGGCACGTGGGTTGCAAAGTAATGACGCCAGATATCTTTAACTTCTTGTCATATCTTGTATTTTGGAAATTGGCCAACCTTGTGTCCACTACAATACACAAACCTTATCAACATTGGCACATGGGTTGCAAAGTAATGACGCCAATGGCGCCAGATATCTTTAACTTCTTGCCGCATCTTGTATTTTGGGAATTGGCCAACCTTGTGTCCGCCAGAATACACAAACTCGTGTCCACTACTAGAACCATGCAGAAAAGCTCAACATCTTACATGCCAGCTATCTTCATGCATTATATGCCAGCTTAATATCAACATTGGCACGTGGGTTGCAAAGTAATGACGCCAGCTATCTTTAACTTCTTGTCGTATCTTGTATTTTGGAAGTTGGCCAACCTCCCCACTACAATACACAAACTCACGTCCACTACTAAAACCACGCATAAAAACTTAACACCTTACATACCAGCTGTCTTCATGCATTATATGCCAGCTTAATATCAACATTGGCATGTGGATTGCAAAATAATGACGCCCACTATCTTTAACATTAGAAATTGAACACGGTGAACTACCGATGTCATCCATTGGTTCCCTCTATCCAACTTTAGGAATTATTAGACCCACCTAACTTGAAATTCTCCTAGGATGCTGCTCCATGCAAAAGATCGGAGAACTCCTAATAATAACACTGATCCAAAGTATACTCTCAAAATTAAGAATTAAAAATTGAACTATTATAATTGCTCCTGATGATCACTGGGTAAACTACTTGTCCTTCTAGTTCACTTGCCTTAACATCACCACATCAAACTCGTGTTTTGCCAAAAACAAATTATTTTTAAAGGTGAATTGTGTGACATTGAAACAGTTCTTTTCTTAGAGCCAGAAAAAGACTCGGTTTCATATGGGAGGGGGAAAGTGGGAGCCAGAGAGCAAAAAGGAAAACGTGAACTGGAAAGAGACGTTAAAGTTAAGTAGCACTGCCAGATGTTTCAGCTTTACGTGTTTTAAATGTATACCACTACTGAATCCTACATCCTCCAAAACATCCTCTTCAATCATGTATAGTACAGGAGAGAGAATCAATGGTTCAAGAAATGAGGCCCACAATCACTATACATATTCTACATGTATACGTCGTATATACACATATACATACATTAATAAAGTAAAAGAGATATTGTAGCTAACACTTGAACATATGTGGTCCACCATTGCTCCAGCATACATATATGTATCATACATACAAATAGCTACATAGACATAGAGAATGCGTGACTGAGTTTGCTTGTCTGTTGATTCCTAGGTCTTAAATTGATAGAAAATCACCAATTTTGCTATCACTGTCAAATTTGTAACCTGCTACTCAATTTTGAATCTTGAACAATAATTTTCACCTAAATTCCGAACTTTCAGTGATCCTAAGACTAAACCCAACTACATATACCCGTGATAAATCATACAGCATAACAAACTATGAAATCAATAGTATCCAACACAGCTACAAAATTTCCCTTACAAATAATTGAAACTCCCAAAATGAACAACCAAATTTCAACCACATTAGCCTCCAAGACTAACTCAAATTTCAAATTGCCCCAAACCAAAATAACATCAACTAATTCGCAACCAGATTCAGAACAGGAACACAACTATGTATTTAAGTTCCAAAAATGCCACTCCACACAATCTCAAATCCACAAGAATTCAACCAAATCCCACAACCAGCCAAAGTCAATCTTCAACCAAATAAAATTAAATAAATTAGAAAACACAAATTGACAAAATCAGCCCAAAGTTAGAACTTATACCTAGCCAGAGCAGGCCGTTTTCGCTCCTGCTGTTGGTCATCCTCACCGTCCAAAATCCTCTTCCTAGTCTGCATTTCCACAAATACCGCAAACCCTACAATAAAAAAAAAAAAAAAATCAGCCGATCAACAAAACAAACAGATCTTATAAATAGACCCAAATTCAGCACAACAAAAGTCTAGCACCCCCCATCTCCCGCCACAAACATTCCCAAAACCAATTAATCAGCTAAAAACCCTAATTCGCCAAACTTACTTATTTACAAATAGATAAATACGAAGACGTGTAGTCTACATATCCTTTACCTGATTGACAGTTGAAATGAGTTTACAAGACTTAATACTTTGTCCGAACGAGGATGAAGCTGAAGCTCGGGCGGGATTCGACCGACTGGGTGTTTCTAGGTGAAGTGGGTGTAGTCTACTCTGACGACTATGTGGTAAGAAGGGGGATCTTAGCTGCTCGCCTACTTGTATCAGCCAAGTACAGTGTTTCAGATATGTGGAGGATTTGTGCATTTGGTCCTTGAGTTTTTAGTCTACTTATGCTTTTGTACAGCCAAAAATTAAATTGACTCAAAATCTTTTACTTTTATGGAATTTTTGTTTTTGGTAAACTTGACCACTAAACATTGTTTTGATTTTTAGAATAAGTTGTGCGTTCTTCATGAGTGAATATATTTTCTAATATTCTATAAGTCTGGTTCAATGTGTCTGTGAGTTTTTAGTCTAATTATGCTTTTGTACAATCAAAAAATTAAATGGGCTCAAAATCTTTACTTTCATGAAATTTTTTGTTTTTCGTGTACTTGATTACTAAACATGGATCTTGATTTTTAGGATAAGTCGTGCGTTTTTCATGAGTGAATATATTTTCTAATATTCTATAAGTCTGATTCAATGTGTCAAATTTTACTTATGTAAATTTTCTGACAATAAATGTCGGTTGTATTCAGAAGATACTTTTGATACACAGCTGTACATTTATCACTTAGGTAGTGAAAGTGTAGAGACAGCCTGAGAGCAAGAAGTAAATACTACTTAAACCAAAAATGCAGATAGCCCACAAATGTGCTACAAGGAAAAAGTACCATGCATACTTTAAACCATATATGAGACGTAAACCTCTAACTACTTCACCATTACAATTCTACATAACCAAATCTACCCTGCAATAAAAGTAATTATTCACATACAAATCCGAAGAGGTTTGAAAAAGTGGAAAAAGCTATGCACTGACATAAAAAATAACTAGAATTTCAAATTATAGCCAGAAATTAACCTTCCAGTGAGTTTGGCAGGACCAAGCTTTGCCAAAGCACGTTCAACTTCTTCGCTAACCTGTCAGCAACAATTTTGAACATAAGACAAAAGAAGCTTGAGACTCCATTAAGCAAACAAAAAGCTACTGGGTAACATAAACATAAGAAAAATATAGTCATGGTAAAGATGCAGCTTTTGTCTGCTATCATACAGTTGTTTGAAGAATTTATACCACAAAAACAGGGTGAAATGTTCAGTTACATTATCAATAAAAAATCATACAACACTGAAGAGGAAGAAGCAGCAGCAGTTAAACTACCTGATCTAGCATGAAGATACACATACTTGTTTCGAACATAATGTAGATTTAGTTGATGGGACAAAGTTTCAATTTCAGTAAGCTTGTAGACAAAACTGTTCTCTTTCACGGATGGATATCTAAGTCATATTATCACTCCCAACATATGATAAAACCAGTTTAACAAAGAAGCATCTTTGTGTACTCAACTAAGGCAGAAAAATATACGAAAATATATGTTATCACAGACAAAAACTGAACAAGTGCAAAACAATACAAAATTGCAGGCAAAAAAAAAAAGATTAAAACTTTAGACTTGAAAGGTTAATCTAAATGCATATATGTGGTTGCAAATGTTAGCTTTCATATGGAAGTATTGAAATTACTCCCCCCCCAACCCCCCAAAATATATATATATATATATGTATATATTTAAAAAACCAGCAGAGCATTTATAAAGCATCAGCGTTGGGCTTACAACTCTACGAAGGATTGGCTCCAAGGATGAGCAGAGTTTCTGAAGACTATCCACCTTTAGCGCTTCCACAATGACACTGCATGAAGATTGTATTCTTAAACAGTGTGAAACCATGATGTAACAAGTCAACCGGAAACCAATTTAGAAAGGCAAACTTAGAGATAGAGATACAAATGACATGTTTCTGGCAGTTATGAAAAGTATTAATAAGCAGCAATTAAAGGAAAACAATTTGAATTACACTTTCTCAAAAATTTCACAGACCATTAGATTAAGATTTCTTTTATAGCATGCCATATCATCATAAAAGCGAGAATTCTTTCATAAAAAGCTTTAATGTCTCACAGGGCCTGATTCTTTGAATCATCTACAGGCCATTTCCATATTAACAAGGGTGCAAAAACCACATATATCTTTTTAGACCTTGAGAAATTTATAAATTGCACCCTTTGGCAGGAAATATATGATTTCCAAATTAAACTTCATATTTTGTTCTCCATCTTTCTCTGTTCTCAATCCAACATACAGAATTTTCCAACTAAAGTAGCTAATGTTAATGCAATCTCTGAAATTGAAATACAATTATATGTCCTTGAAAGACAGGATCAAAGCCGTGAATGTTCTTGGTCAAAGTGAAATGAAATGTAGAAGATAAGACAAGTTCCCTTAATAAAACCACAAAGTACCCATGTCATAGGACATGACACCGGTGCAGGTATGTAATATGTGTCAAATTTGGTCAAATATTTAGTTGGCATTACGACTTTAGATGAGGCCTCTTGGACCTTATTAATCCCTGCTCAGAACTACTTTACAGCAGTGGCAGGTACATGACCCTAGGTAAGGGGGCGCAATTTATGACTATTACGTGCAACATAATAACACTGGCCAATAAACATCTGTCTTACATGTACTGTTAATTTTAAATACGACTTAAATTAGTAATAATAAATTTAGCAATAACTTAATTCTATCTATCAGAAATTTTTCTTCTAAAAAATGTTTAACATTATATAACTTGAGGTAGGTCCAACACTCTTGTGAAAGGTAATGCATGAAATATTAATTGTTACGGGTGGCAATGCAGCCATAAAAGGGAATATCACAAAATTTGGGGGAGCAATAATGATACATTTTTACAAACTTTTCAAATTTCCCAAATCTAGGTTGTGATTTTACCAAATATCTCCCCAGGGGAGGGGAGGCAGGGCAATTGTCCATCTTGAACTATATTTGGCTCTGCCAGTGCTTACAGCCTATTCTAAAGAACCTTAGTGTTAATCAGCACCTACAAGAAGTAAAGGAGACTACAATGGTGAAAGTTTGGTAGCATCCTTCAGGGTATCTAGCTTCCATCAGCAAACGCCCAATTCAATAATACCCAATCTGGTATTACAATATGCACACAGAGATTCTTAGAACCCCAAGTTTAAAATTAGGGACAATGTTATGCGTTGCGCCATATCCAAATACTCCCTGCATATTTTTCTTCTTGTCCTGGTATCTTCTATTTTGGCAATTGGCCAACCTTGTGTCCACTACAATACACAAACCTAGGTACAAACTCATGTCCGCTACTAAAACCAAGCAGAAAAGCTCAGCATATTACATGCCAGCTGTCTTCATGCATTATATGCCAGCTTAATATCAACATTGGCACGTGGGTTGCAAAGTAATGACGCCAGATATCTTTAACTTCTTGTCATATCTTGTATTTTGGAAATTGGCCAACCTTGTGTCCACTACAATACACAAACCTTATCAACATTGGCACATGGGTTGCAAAGTAATGACGCCAATGGCGCCAGATATCTTTAACTTCTTGCCGCATCTTGTATTTTGGGAATTGGCCAACCTTGTGTCCGCCAGAATACACAAACTCGTGTCCACTACTAGAACCATGCAGAAAAGCTCAACATCTTACATGCCAGCTATCTTCATGCATTATATGCCAGCTTAATATCAACATTGGCACGTGGGTTGCAAAGTAATGACGCCAGCTATCTTTAACTTCTTGTCGTATCTTGTATTTTGGAAGTTGGCCAACCTCCCCACTACAATACACAAACTCACGTCCACTACTAAAACCACGCATAAAAACTTAACACCTTACATACCAGCTGTCTTCATGCATTATATGCCAGCTTAATATCAACATTGGCATGTGGATTGCAAAATAATGACGCCCACTATCTTTAACATTAGAAATTGAACACGGTGAACTACCGATGTCATCCATTGGTTCCCTCTATCCAACTTTAGGAATTATTAGACCCACCTAACTTGAAATTCTCCTAGGATGCTGCTCCATGCAAAAGATCGGAGAACTCCTAATAATAACACTGATCCAAAGTATACTCTCAAAATTAAGAATTAAAAATTGAACTATTATAATTGCTCCTGATGATCACTGGGTAAACTACTTGTCCTTCTAGTTCACTTGCCTTAACATCACCACATCAAACTCGTGTTTTGCCAAAAACAAATTATTTTTAAAGGTGAATTGTGTGACATTGAAACAGTTCTTTTCTTAGAGCCAGAAAAAGACTCGGTTTCATATGGGAGGGGGAAAGTGGGAGCCAGAGAGCAAAAAGGAAAACGTGAACTGGAAAGAGACGTTAAAGTTAAGTAGCACTGCCAGATGTTTCAGCTTTACGTGTTTTAAATGTATACCACTACTGAATCCTACATCCTCCAAAACATCCTCTTCAATCATGTATAGTACAGGAGAGAGAATCAATGGTTCAAGAAATGAGGCCCACAATCACTATACATATTCTACATGTATACGTCGTATATACACATATACATACATTAATAAAGTAAAAGAGATATTGTAGCTAACACTTGAACATATGTGGTCCACCATTGCTCCAGCATACATATATGTATCATACATACAAATAGCTACATAGACATAGAGAATGCGTGACTGAGTTTGCTTGTCTGTTGATTCCTAGGTCTTAAATTGATAGAAAATCACCAATTTTGCTATCACTGTCAAATTTGTAACCTGCTACTCAATTTTGAATCTTGAACAATAATTTTCACCTAAATTCCGAACTTTCAGTGATCCTAAGACTAAACCCAACTACATATACCCGTGATAAATCATACAGCATAACAAACTATGAAATCAATAGTATCCAACACAGCTACAAAATTTCCCTTACAAATAATTGAAACTCCCAAAATGAACAACCAAATTTCAACCACATTAGCCTCCAAGACTAACTCAAATTTCAAATTGCCCCAAACCAAAATAACATCAACTAATTCGCAACCAGATTCAGAACAGGAACACAACTATGTATTTAAGTTCCAAAAATGCCACTCCACACAATCTCAAATCCACAAGAATTCAACCAAATCCCACAACCAGCCAAAGTCAATCTTCAACCAAATAAAATTAAATAAATTAGAAAACACAAATTGACAAAATCAGCCCAAAGTTAGAACTTATACCTAGCCAGAGCAGGCCGTTTTCGCTCCTGCTGTTGGTCATCCTCACCGTCCAAAATCCTCTTCCTAGTCTGCATTTCCACAAATACCGCAAACCCTACAATAAAAAAAAAAAAAAAATAGCCGATCAACAAAACAAACAGATCTTATAAATAAACCCAAATTCAGCACAACAAAAGCCTAGCCCCCCCATCTCCCGCCACAAACATTCCCAAAACCAATTAATCAGCTAAAAACCCTAATTCCCCAAACTTACTTATTTACAAATAGATAAATACGAAGACGTGTAGTCTACATATCCTTTACCTGATTGACAGTTGAAATGAGTTTACAAGACTTAATACTTTGTCCGAACGAGGATGAAGCTGAAGCTCGGGTGGGATTCGACCGACTGGGTGTTTCTAGGTGAAGTGGGTGTAGTCTACTCTGACGACTATGTGGTAAGAAGGGGGATCTAAGCTGCTCGGCTACTTGTATCAGCCAAGTACAGTGTTTCAGATATGTAGAGGATTTGTGCATTTGGTCCTTGAATTTTTAGTCTACTTGCTTTTGTACAGCCAAAAAATTAAATCGACTCAAAATCTTTTACTTTTATGGAATTTTTTGTTTTTTGTGAACTTAATTACTAAACATGGTTTTGATTTTTAGAATAAGTCGTGCATTCTTCATGAGTGAATATATTTTCTAAGATTCTATAAGTCTGATTCAATGTGTCCTTGAGTTTTTAGTCTAATTATGCTTTTGTACAATCGAAAAATTAAATGGGCTCAAAATCTTTACTTTCATGAAATTTTTTGTTTTTTGTGTACTTGATTACTAAACATGGATCTTGATTTTTAGAATAAGTCGTGCGTTCTTCGTGAGTGAATATATTTTCTAATATTCTATAAGTCTGATTCAATGTGTCAAATTTTACTTGTGTAAATTTTCTGACAGTAAATGTGAGTTGTATTCAGAAGATACTTTTATTGAAAATAGAGATAAATTGAGCATCATCATTTTAAATGAATAAGAAATAATTTTCAAGAAAATGCGTGAAGAAATTTTTTTCATGTTAATTTTCTGACAGTATATGTCGGTTGTATTCATTAAATACTTTTACTCAATGTGGAGATAAACTAAGTGTCATCATTTCAAGTCGCATAAGAACTAATTTTCAAGAAAATGGATAAAGAATTTTTGACAAAAAATCATCAAAATTCAAAGCGATACAATTTATGTGCTCATTTGATCTTCTCATCTTGGATAACTTCAAATCCTTTATCTCATTTCTTGTGCCAATTTTGTGCTATCCTATTTATTGTATAATGTATTTACAATATACCATAACAATCTTATAAGTGAAATTATGTATGTAGAAAAAATTAGAAAAATGTGGATAGAAATTAATATGAGAAGGCAAATTGAGAATATAAATTCATTAATACACCACACGTTAATACAAAAAAGATTTCAAATTCTAGTTGACAAGCTATCTACGATTGCATATTCATTCCAACTATTTAATTTATTTATTTTTCAAGTTCGATTACATTTTTAGATATTGCCGAGTGCAATGAAAATGAAACATCAAAATACTGAGCGCCGTTTTACAATTATTGGGCTCTTAAGGGTTGAAAAAGGATAATTGCAAACTTGCCAAGATCTTTTTCGTTTTTGCTTCCTTTTGGTTGGACTTCTCGGCTTGATGACGGGATGTAGTTGGATGCTACGTTTTGTGAAATCTAGGCCGTCAGTTTGCAGTAGTGTGACGGCTGTGGATAAAAATGTTATCTCGTCAGAATTTGTCATCTTTCCTCCATTTTTTAATTTTTTTTCACAGCCTTTGCACCTTTCTTTTTAATTTTCTCTTTTCCTACGTTTTAATTTTCATATGGTGTGTGGTATAGAAATATTCTGTGTAAGCTGTAAAGGGTATATAAATCATCATTTCCATTTGGACCCTTTTGTTGATTTTATTCCATACTAGATTCTATTTCATTTACTATAAAATATCCCTTTATTTTACCATGCCATTTTTGCATCAAGGTTCAATCCATAAGAGGAATAAATCTATCTTTTGATTGTTTTCTTTTTCGTATTTATTTGCCCGTGTTTGATATAATCGAAGAAATGGCACATTTAAAGCTTGTTACTATAAAGAAGCTTAATAAGTACTTTCATTTTAAGTACATTTCTTTGTGATCAAAGCTTAAAGATCTTTTTTTGCTTCATCCACTTATATTTGTTAGTCTAGCTAAAGCAAAAGAAAAAAAATTTACAATGTGTTAATTATTAAGTGACTTTTTAAGTAAAATTTAAGACGTATGGAGAGGACTAGGGGATTAAAATTTAGAACCTCTAAATTCTAGGATTTCAACCTTAATCACTAGAAAATTTTTTTTAAAAAAGTGACTTTTTGGTATCATCTACATTTTAGATGCTCTTAACAAACAACAAATATCTACAGAGATGTGATTCATAATTACCTTATAAACCAATATTGCCTATCACTATACCTTAGTTTTTTTAACTCTTTTTTTTTTTTGAAACAAGATTCGTCTTGCATGCATGCGCGGCACGCATCTATATATGTACATATGTATGTAATACACACATAAATATACATATACATACATATGTATATATGTCTCGCACGCACGCGATATGTATGTATTTATGTACATATGTATGTAATTCATACATAAATATACATACACATGTATTCATACATATATACATATATATGTCTCGCACGCACCCGACATGCATGTATGTGTGTACATATGTATGTAATACATACATAAATACATATATATATACACACAGAGACATGTGTATAAACACACATATACAAATATTTGCAAGTATTTAGGGTATATACTCGATAACTCTGTCCATACTTTGGCATAAAGGACAAGATGTAAATTTAGAGCTATGGAATTTAGAATAATTTTGAACTGTAACTCATTTTCATTAATCGTAACGGATGGTAGTCACTAACGACAACAAATACATAATCGAGTATTTTTCTACTGCATTATGTAGTAAGTAATCAATTGAACTGGACAAACATAGTTAGAGTGAAGTAAATCTGTTTCTAATTCGACGGCAAAATTTTGGAAATGATTTTGGATTATAACTTGAAATTCGATTATTTGGAGAAAACTTTTACGATTAAACCTTTTTTTTATTTTCATTTCTCTTTTTAGCTTTGTTTGTCTACCATGAGCATGGAGTAAAAAAAGAAACACTAGTTTTGTTTGGATTGTGAATTATTAGAGATATTTTTACTGTAGCATTTTTTGTGATGTAATGTATGTGAGATAAAAAGGTAATTGGGAAGATAAAAAGGTGTTTTGGAAATTGTAATGATGATGTAAGCAAATATATTTTGACAAATAAATCGCAATCCAAACAAACCCGCTTCACGTAAATAATATCGACATTGTATGATGGGGCTAGATTCGCTACTGAGAATTCATATGTGCTATAGCTATGTGGACGTCTTGAATGAATAATTTACTACCTAATTAAGTAATTAACCCCTTTCAATTCTGGCAATTCTTTTCTCTTCCATGGGTATAATTTCTAAAAATGAAAAAGAGCAAATTAGAAAGAAGAGAGGAGTAAAAGCGTGAGATGAAATGCAAGAGGCTGATCTTCAACCTAGATTGCCACGTTAAAAGTACTCCATGGATGCACTCGTCCATTTGTCAAAACTAGCTCATGCATTCTGTACTGGTGCCACCTAAGGAAATCGTCACTTAGCCCATATAAACTCCATTCATGGAACCACATTTTCTTCACTCCCTTCTTCACCAAAATCCAAAACAAATCTCTTTACTCTATACTCCCTTTCTCATTGTCCTCATGGCTTACATAAACTTTGTGTACGGTTTAGTGATCATGATGATGAGCCTGTCCAGCAGTGCTAGTACCAGTACTAGTACCACCGCTAGTGCTGGTGCTAGTACAAGTGTTGCTACTGCTGAAGATAGTACTAGTACCACTACTAGTGCTGAAGAAGTTGGTGAGACTGAAGATTTGCTTATCCAAATTCTCTTCCGTTTGCCGGTGAAATCTCTACTTAGATTCAAATGCGTTTCCAAGAGATGGAAGAGCATTATTTCTACTCCCTACTTCTCTATCAATCACACTCGTAGAAATCCAAAACCCATATCATCCAGCCTGCTGATGCTCAATGATCGATCTTTAATCCTTCTGTCACTTGGGAACCATGAGAATAATACTAAGGCTGATTATCGAATCCCATCATTCGGCTTCTTCAACATCACCGCCGACGTAACCATGAGGATTCTGGGGATGTGCAATGGCTTGATGTTATGTTTCATAACCTCAGCCTTCAAAGAACACGAGTACGCTTATTGTGTTGGCAACATCACAACTAAGCAGCTCAGGAAACTTCCTCCCCCGAGCATGCTCGCGAGCAACCTGATTATCGGTATGAATTTGGCTTTTGATCCATCAAACTCACCTCATTTTAAAGTCATCTGCGTTGGCCAACACTTCATGCAGGACGCTGGAAGTTGTGAAATTGAGATTTACTCATCAGAAACCGACGAATGGAAACTCTGGAATGGCTCCTTCTGCAATCCTTTCGATATTCTGGAAGTTTTTGATCGCGGGGTTTTTTGCAATGGTGCAATGCACTGGCTTAATTTTGGGGGCGACTCATTTTACTTTGTTCTTGAGAACGAGGTCATGAAAATTATGCCAATGCCTCCCATGCATAGCGATATTTATACTACCAAGAGGCTAAGGTTTTTAGGGCAGTCTGGAGGGTACCTACATTTGGTTGATTTTGAATCAAACCTTTATCATAATCCACCGATGGATATATATGAGATGAGGAAGGATTATTCAGGATGGATTTTGAAGCACAGATTTGATCCCAATAACATAGCAATGGAATTCCCAGAAATGACTAGAGAAATCCGGGTGAATACTCAATACACTGATGATGAAAACGACACTAGTATTCATACGGCCAGGTACTATTTGTGCTCAATCATGAGCACTAGAAGGGCTCCAGATGGGGAGAGTATAGAGGTTATACTTCTTCTACCCAGCCGTATTATCGCATACAATCCTAAGGATAACAGCAGCAGGACGCTCCTGGTGTTGAAGAAAAGAGTAGCGGTTCAAGATCACAAGTGGTATGATGTGCATCAGTTCACTGAGACCCTCTCTTGGCTTTAATTTGCTGATGCATTGTGGAAATCTATCCTGCTGTTGTAAGCCGATATTTGTATCATTTGTCGTGGTGAAAATGGATAGGAATAATGCAATGCATTGCATGCAATAGTCCTCCTGTTTGTAAGCCGTAGTTTTGCAGTGTTCTGTATTTCTAGGCTGGTGGTCAGGAAATGGTGTCCAACTTGGCTTTGTTTGTAAGATACATTTATGAATTAGAGAGTTTCTGTATTATGGAGAATGGTCTTTGTACTTTTTCAGAAGTAGACAGTCTCAACCGCATGCTTCAT